TTTGGGTACCAGGGATTGAACTCAGGGGTACTCAACCAGTGAGCCACATCCCCAGCCCTATTTTGTATTGTTTTTAGAGACAGGGTTTCCCTGAGTTGCTTAGTGCCTCGATTTTGCTGAGGCTCGCTATGAACTCATGATCCTCCTGCCTCAGCCTCCAAGGTGCTGGGATTAAAGGCATGAGCCACTGTGCCCAGCTGGTTTAAGTCATTCTTGACAATTCATCATGCTCCATCAAGAATTCATCAGCAAACCTCCTGGAATCAAAAGCAGTGTGTCTTAAACTTTCTGCTTAGTTTTAGAGCTAAGGGCCTATCAAGAGGTTTATTAAAGGCAAACAAACAAGTAAAGCAGTGATGACCTTTGTAAATTACAGAGAGAAATCTGATATATTAAAGATCATGCAAATTGTTGTATAATTTTTTCTTTTCTTGTCATGGAAGAATAAATCTTGTCATGGAATAATTTTATCAAAATTTAAGAGATTAGTTCTACCCACAAACTTACTGCTGGTCTCCGAGGTTCTCCAGGCAGTTGTGGAGGATAAACTATTTTATTCTTCTTCTCCCATTTTCGAGAAATGTCAAGTGAAGCACTTATGTGGATGGAAGACTGGGGTAACACACTGTGAGATGAAAGCAGCCTGCAAGACAAGAGAAACTTAGAACCTTTCTGCAGAGTTTATACATCTTCTTTACTACTTTAGCTAGCTCCATTTTGTTGAAAACGATTTAAGGATCACAAATGGAAACATTCTAGAAGTAATCACTAATAGAGACCACTTTTATAAAAATCATCACAAAGATCTGGTTTGTGTGAGGCTACTTTTCTTTCACTCTTCCTTTAAGTTTTTACTTCTATTTTTTCTCCTCTCTCATAACCAACACATTCTCCATCACCATTACACCCGCCCTATTCACCCCTCAAAATTGCAAACACTTTTCTACCCCCTTTTCTCTTCTTTCCTCTTGATCAACTCTATCCTTAACACCTCATAACACTAATTGGTTTATATACTGCCAATCCCCACTGCCAATGCTATAGCAATAATTAATATGGCAGAAATCAAATACAACACCTACTATTTGGTTTTATACCAGACATAATCTATGATTATTTACTGTTTTTACTGATGGAAGTTGCTGATCCCACTATTTGGCACTGCTTATTGTGCCAATTAATACTGTAGACAACAAAATAGGAACAAAGTACCTAGGCTACTGCTATATATTACTTGCACAAGTTGTTGCTATTATTGGGTTCATCCCTAATCTGAGAGGCATGAGAAACCTACAAAGATACTATAAGCATGTAGGGTAAAAATTCCACTGCTTCAGATCCATCTGGATAGATAGGTAGACACACAAACAATATGAAAAAGCAAGGGAACAGATCATCACAAACATCACAGAATACCTCAACAACAGATCCACTGATAACACAGCGGAGGAAATGTCAGAAATGGGATTTAGAAAGTTTATAGTTAAACTGATTTATGAGGTAAAAGATGATGTAAGGAGTGAAATCAGAGAGAAAAAATAAGTGAAAGAACAGGAGATAGAGATTCTGAAGTAGAATCTATAGGAAATCCTCAAAATGAAGGAATCAATAAACCAAGTTAAAAAGTCAATGAAAAGCATCACCAATAGACTAGAGTGTTTGGAAAAAAAGAGTTTCCAGCAATGAAGACAAAACATGTAATCTTAAAAATAAAGTCGAATGTAGAGAAAAGATGTTAAAATACCATGAACACAATTTTTAAGAAATATGGGATAATATAAAAGACCAAATTTGAGATTCATTAGGATAGATGAAGGCTCTGAAATACAAACTAAAGGAACACACAATCTTTTCAATGAAATAATATCAGAAAATTCCCCAAATCTTAAGAATGAAATGGAAAACCTAATACAGGAGGCATACAGGACTCCAAATATACAACAGTCATTCCAAGACATACTATTATGAAAATGCCTAACACAGAATAAGGATAGAATTTTTAAAGCAGCTAAAGAAAATGACTGATCAAATTTAGAGGGAAACCAATCCAGCTCTCAATTGATTTTTTCAACCCAGAACTTAAAAGCTAGGTGGTCATGGAATAATTTATACCAAAGTCTGAAAGAAAATGATGCCAAACAAGAATACTATAATCAGTAAAATCAAGCTTCAGATTTTAAGGTGAAGTAAAAACTTCCATGAAAAACAAAAGTTAAAAGAATTTGCAACTAGATAGCCAGCACTATGAAACACACTTAATAAAATATTTCACTGGGTTGGGTTGTGGCTCAATGATAGAGTGCTTGCCTAGCATGTGTGAGGCTCTGGATTAGATTCTCAGCACCACAAATAAATAAATAAATAAATATCTAGCAACAACTAAAATAAGTATTTAAAATAAATAAATAAAATATTCATGAAGAAGAAATGGAGAATAAAAATTAAAACCAGCAAAGGGTGAAGCTACACTAGAAGCACAGTCAATCAAAGAAGAATCTAATTCAACCAAAAAACTAGTAATAAATCAAAATGATAGAAAATGAAAAGTATCTCTAAATAATAACATTGAATGTAATTTTTTAGAATTAAAAAAACAAGAATCAACAATATGCTTTCTCCATGAGACTCACCTCGAAGGCAAAGACATCCACAGACTGAAAGTGAAAGAATGAGAAAAAACATACCACTCATATGGATCTTGTAAACAAGCAAGGGTTTCCATCCTTATATCAGATAAAATGAACTTCAAGCCAAAATTAATAAGAAGGGACCAAGAAGGTCATTCTTAGTGCTTAAGGGAATCATACAACAGTAATATTTATTTATGAACCAAATAATGGAGCATCTACAAACAATAAAGAATCAAATAGAATCAAATAGACCACAACACAATAATACTGGATAACTTGAACCCTCCTTTCTCAACAATAGATAAATAATCCAAACAAGAACTGAATAAAGAAGATACAAAACTAAAAAAATACAATTAATAATCTAGATCTAATTGATATACATAGAATATTTCATTTATCAATGACTGAATACAACTTCTCTGAGCAATATATATGGAACATTTTCTAAACTAGACCATATTTTAGGCCACAAAGCAAAGTGCAAAAAAAGAAAAAAAAAAAGAGAGAGAGAGAAAACGCCCTGCATTCTGTAAGATCGTAATACATTAGAAATTGAAATTAGAAAGCAACAATTAGTCAAAAAGTAGAAACTAATACCTAGAGACTAAATAATTCACAATTGAGTGATGAATGAATACATAAATTAGGAGTGAAATTAAAAGTGAATGAGAATAGTGAACACTATGAAGGCAGTTCTAAAAGGAAAGTTCACAGCATTAAACTCATTCATAAAAGAATAGAAAGATGCCAAATAAATAATCTAACATTACATTTCAAGAGCCTAGAAAAAGAAGAACAAATCAACAACAAAATCAATAAATGACAGGAAATAATTAAAATCAGTGCCAAACTCAATGAAATGTAACATAATTAGAATGGAATATAAATAATAATATAAATGAAACATAATTAAATAAATAAATTTATAAATATATAGATTTATATTTATAAATATAAATAAATTTATAAATAATAATATAAATGTAACATAATTAGAATGGATATACATCACATAAAGAACCATATGATTATCTCAATAGATGCAGAAAAAAATTTGAGAAAATACAACAGCCATTCATGTTTAGAACACTAGAAAAAAACAGGGATAGAAGGAATATTCCTCAAAAATCCATAAAAGCTATATACAACAAAGCCAATGCCACATCATTCTAAGTGGACAAAAAAACTGAAAGCATTCCCTCTAAACTCAGAAACAAGACAGGAATGCCCACTTTCACCACCTCTATTCAACATAGTTCCTGAAACCCTAGCCAGAGCAGTTAGGCAAAAGAAAGAAATTAAAGGGATACAAAGAGGAAAAGGAAAACTCAATCTATCTCTATTTGCTGAAAACATGGTACCCTATTTAGAAGACCCAAACACTCCACCAGTAAACTTCTAAAACTCATAAATAAATATTCAACAAAGTAGTAGAATATAAAATTGACACCCATAAATCAATTGCATTCCTATATGAGCCAAGCACAGTGGGGCACGCCTGTAATCCCAGCCTCAGCAATTTAGCAAGGTCTTAACAACTCAGTGAGACCCTGTCTGTTAAAGGGGAAAAAAAAAAAATGATCTGGGAATGGCTCAGTGGTTAAGGAGCCCTGAGTTCAATGCCAGGTACCCGACCCACCCAAAAAAGAAAAACAAAAAACAAACAAACAAAAAAAAAAAAACCACGATATTCCAATGAATTAGCTGAAAGAGAAATTAGGAAAAACATCCCATTCATAATAGCCTCAAAAAAACAATCAAACTTAGGAATCAACCTAACAAAAAACTACACAACACTAAAGAAAGAAACTGAAGGAGACCTTACAAGATGGAAAGATCTTCCATGTTTTTGGATAGGCAGAATTAATATTGTCAAAATGGCCATACTACCAAAAGTGCTATATAGATTCAATGCAATTCCCATCAAAATTCCAATGATATTCTTCATAGAAATAGAATAAGCTGTTTTGAAATTCATTTGGAAAAATAGGAAACCCCAAAGAGCCAAAGAAATCCTTTGTAAGAAAAATGAAGCAGGAAACATCACAATACCAGACCTCAAATTATACTAAAGAGTTGGGATAACAAAAACAGGCAAGAGGACCAATGGAACAGAAGAGAAGATACAGAGACAAACCCAAAATACAGTTAACTTATACTAGACAAAGGAGCCAAAAACATACACTGGAGAAAAGATAGTCTCTTCAACAAATGGTGGTGGAAAAAAGGGAAATCCATATTTAATAGAATGAAGTGAACCCCTATCTCTCACTCTGCACAAAAACCAACTCTAAATGCATCAAAGACTTAGGAATGACCAAAACCCTGCACCACTAGAAAGAAGGCAGGCCCAATGCTCTAACATATTGACTCAGGAACTGACTTCCTTAACAAGACTCCTAAAGCACAAGAAATAAAATCAAAATCACTAAATGGGATGACATCGAACTAAAAAGATTCTTCACAGCAATGGAAACAATCCAGAGCATGAAAAGAGAGCCTACAGTTGGGAGAAAATTTTTTCCACCTGCCCCTCAGATAGGACATTAATTTCTAGGAATCCAAGAAATTTAAAACTAAAAAAAAATAAATAACCCAGTCAATAAATAGACAAAGGAACTGAACAGACCCTTCTCAAAAGAAGAAATATGAATGGTCAACAAATATATGAAGGGCTGGGGATATAACTCAGTTGATAGAGCACTTGCCTCACAAATATATGAAAAAATGTTCAGCATCTCTAGCAATTAAAGAAACACAAATTAAAATTACACTGAAATTTCATCTCATTCCAATCAGAATGGCTACTATCAAGAATACAAGCAACAATAAACATTGGCTAGGATGTGAGGGAAAGGGTATGCTCATATATTGTTGGTGCAAGTGCAAATTGGTGAAACCACTTTGGAAAGCATTATGGAGATTCCTCAGAAGACTGACTTGGAATAGAAACACCATTTGACCCAGTTATGTAACTCCTCGGCTTTAAAATCAGCATTCTATAGTGATG